TCCCACCGACTGCAGCGATGTGGAGACATTCATATCTGCGGATACACCCGAGACAAGTCACGCTTCAAAGGTGAACATCATCAGTGTATTCCCACTTGTTCATCTACCTACCTCACCTTGACTCTATGTTTAAATATGATGTTTAGCGGACAATGTGATATCATCATTAAAAAGAGATTGTGAAACCATATAATCCAACATCCATTTTGACGATTTTAAAGCATGCTATCACTGGCCATTTTAACTGCTGTATTGCTTCTGAATGAAAAAGCTAAGGGCCAAGCTAATTATATGGAGCCTGAGCATATTGATCCAGTGGGACAAGCTTTCTAATCATTGGCCTCATGCTGATAAAGTGTACATGGCGGTTAAAGTCAATCTGTCAATTCCATTTCAGCCAATATGCTCTTCTTGCACCGATGATTTCTCTTTAGGCTTGCTCCCACAGCAGTAATCTCATTTGAAATAAGTTTTCTGTATATACTTTGAAAAAACTTGAGCTGGACCATGTTCTAAAAAAAGCCATCTTGATTTAAATTGGTTCTTTTTCTTTGTAATGAAGACTGCTTTTTCTACTCTAAAACGTTTGTCCTTCAAGCAAACCCAAACGTTCCTAATGTATTCACATAAATGCATGTATAAAGGGTTCTTCTTACTCTGTGTCTTGCTGACCTTTATTCAATGATGTCTGCTATTGCTCTTTCTCTTTATGTCATGCTTAGCTTTGCCCTAATTTTCCTCTGCCGTGCTCTTTCAAATCAAGTTTATTTGAATTAATTGTTTGATGCTAATAGGCCATCACATGATATTGATGAAAAGGAAGAACCTTGGCATCTTTTCATTCCCTCTGAGCTCAAAACTAATTGCCTTAATTGATACAGATTGTTTCATTGTCTGTTTCGTTTCTGTGATATTCTAAAAATACCTCAGCATGCTTGTATTTTGAGATAACTCTCTTGTCGTGTTTGTGTCAAATCTGACCGAATGTTTTTTGTGTAATGTAAGAGAAGTTAAAACAGAACACTCAAATTTGACCAGAAACACCAGAGTAAGGGGGAAGAATCAAACCCGACAGGGGGGTAAAGGAGAACTTTATTTGATAGTTGCAGTTTACAAATAACGCTTACGTTTTTACTTGCCCGTTATCATTCATGTGAAATGTTATGATTTTTCATATTAGAAAACAGCCTTTCAACCTGTCATATTGTATCATCTGGCTGTTGACACTAGGGTGGTGAAAAAAGTCCTTGCTAACCACAATACTAAGCTAAAGGCTAAGGTTATTACCATGGACCTGGTTGCCCAAGCAACAGTACTTGCAAATTATGAACTTTCAAGGAATAGGCGGGATAGGAAGTGGGTGGCATGAAGGGATGTTTGTTAGAGAAGAGACAACTATAGCCTTTATCGTGCATCGTAGGACTTGAACTGTTCTACGAAAAATCTTTTTTGGCATGTCTATTTTGTTAACATGTTAAAATGAGTAGCCAGGGATCAAAGGACCAAGCCTGTGATTAATGGATGGCAAGCAGTCATGTAGAACAAGTAGAGGCCTCTTCAATCATTATCCTCTAACAGTACAAGTTGGACAGTATAAACAAACAGTCTGGTCTCCACAGATAAAGCGCTACAATTGCAATCATATGTCCTTCTGTCAGTTTCTCTTGCAGTCCCTTGTCTTCTGTATTACGTGGGTAAAATATAAGGAGGGTGAATGTTGTGAGGGTTATATCAATTATTATTATAAATAAATATGACTTTTTGCTGTGTTTTCATTAGCAAGGCAACTGCTGCAAGGTCCTTTTTGTTTCTACAATGGTAAATAAATTAGCATCAGTGCCATGCTGTGCCCTCTGTGACTGATATAAATGTGACGACTGCCTCCAATGTCGTTTCCCTGCTTTCTGTTTATGTGAAGATATGGCTACACCTAGTTAGCAGAGAGCAGGCCTTTCCTGAATAAACGAATATCTCCTTTTCATGTCCGTCTCATAGAAAGAGTGAATGAATGGCATCATGGATAATTGTGCAATTAGACAAAAATATTTTTTTTTCTTTCCTTGTTTTGGTTGTTCAATGCTTTAATCCCACAACTTCTTTAATCTTTCTATTTATTTCACACACACACTGGATCCACCTATAGTAATGCCTCCTTCTCTGTGTGCTATCGCTACATGGTTGTATCTGTTTGACATACATGATTTGACTTGTGCTGTAGTGTGAGCCGTGTTTGAGTGTATGGAAGCGTGCTGGAAATCGTTTGCATATGTGCGTGTCTAGGAGGTCCCTACCCCTCGTCTCAGCAGGCCGCTGGTACTAGCTCCAGTGTCTGGTGGCAGCTGTCTCACTGTGTGTCCCTGGTTCATGTGACAAGATAGCTTCTCATGTCATATCATTGTTCTACCTCAGCGCTCAGACACCAGTCTTCTGGCTCAGCTGGTTGATTGGATAGCTCTTTCCAGAGTAGAAAAGTGCCCAAGAGATAAAAGGAACAATGCTTATCCAGCTGCCATGCATGGGGGATGTTAAATGTCTGTCTATTGGCTGATGCGTGTCCTTCCAGTATTTTGGGATAGCTACCTCTAAAACTCACAGAGGCGTGAGCCTAAAAAAGAAAGGCATTCACTTCTATTTCTATATTATCTTACCCAAGGGCATGCTGAAGTAATGAATACATCATTCTGTTATCTGGAGTGAGCAGTACACTTTGCTAAGTGGACTTAAACGATTTCTGGAAAGTTTTACATTTAAAAACATGTGCAGTCCTCCCTTTGTACATTAAAGTAGTTTATCTGTGGCCCTCTGAATTGCCTCTGAGTAAAACCATGTCAAGGTGATCTCCGTTGATATCCTTCACAGAATGTTAGTGTGTGTGTGTGTGTGTGTGTGTGTGTGTGTGTGTGTGTGTGTGTGTGTGTGTGTGTGTGTGTGTGTGTGTGTGTGTGTGTGTGCGTGTGTGTGTGTGTGTGTGTGTGTGTGTGTGTTGATGAGACTTAGGGGAAAAGTGAGAGACTTTAAAAAACGTTTGAATACAAAGTCATATCAAAGATTAAAAAGGAGAGTTAAGCTTATTCCCATCCATAGAAAAATGTGTGAGGTTAGGTCCTTTACACCAAATTCATATTAATGTGGATTTGGAGAGGACAGAACTGAAGATAAAAAGAGGGGGGGGGGGGCACTGAATTTGCATATCCAGGTGATGTCCTTGGCAAATATTAAAGCTTACACAGCCTTCCTGAAGAAAAAAATCCATGATCCCTCTCCACACCCTGCTTTTGGATATATTCAGTTTCCACACTCTAATTTTGCTCAATGGCCCACACAGTGTCTTCTTCACACACTATCTTGGGACACAGAATGTCTATTTTAGTACAAATTAAAGTCTGACAAAGGCATTTGAAAGCACAATAGTGCTGTGGTTGGGGAATGGGTCTAAGGCTGTGAGAAACTGGCCCTCAGGGAGGCAGAGGACTAGAGAGGCACCAGGCAATTCATAAGCGACTGGGAGTGCTGTGATCCATAGCAGCCACCGGCATGCTAATGTTATTCTTCTGACTGGATATGTCACTCTTCTTCCGGATGTGAGTGCAATCCAGTTTAATCTCTCATAACAGATGTTCAGACGAAGACAATCAAATGTAACTTTCCTTGTGGCGTCAATTAATAATGTATTTTGACAGTTTTATTCTAGATCAGTAAAAGCACTCAGAATGTACACACTCATGTAGAGCTTCATTTTTTGATAGAGCTCTATGAAGAAAGCTTGGTTGGTTCTCATTATGTTACCAATCACAACACTGGACCTCTTCACACTCGCATACTCACATGCTTAATACAGCCATGTACCTGGGAAGCCTGAAGTGCCTGAGTTCCCGCAGTTGAAGTCAAAGCCTCTGACAGCTGCCATACTTTATGTTTATGTTTAAGGATCCCCATTAGCTTTTGCTCTTGACAAAAGCTACTCTTCCTGGGGTCCGACACTTAAAACAATACCACAATAATACAACAATAATACAACAACACTCAAGACATAATTCCTGACATCATTAACAACATTAACAACATCACCAACATCATCAACAATCTCATCCACTTTCAATATCAATCTCAGCCAAGAATGAGTGCACTAGACACCCACCAGTACAAAGCATGAGATTAAATTAAATTAGGGTTCACAGCTCACAAGGGTACATGGTCATTAGTAGAAGATGGCCCTTCAATCTCTTCTTGAAAGAGGCTCTGTACTCTATTTCAGCAAGGTAGTTTGGCAATGAGTTCCATTCCTTTATAGCTCTATAAGACACAGAAGATTTCAAAAGATTTGTTCTAGGTTTAGGTGCCAGTAGATGGCCTGATGTAGCTTGTCTAGTCTTATGGTCATGCTCATCTCTTGTGTAAACTATTTGATCATAAAAATACAGTACCATACTAGTAGGCTAATCAGCCCTGCTAGCATATGCCTGCAGTAATGACATATTCTATGGTTTACACTGACTGCTAAGATACATGATATAGTGTCATCAATTAAAACGTTGACGCATTGTGTCACAATAATAAACAAACAAAATAAACCTTAATCTGAGTAAGAAATGTGGATGGATATCAGCAATTACCTTGTGTGAATCTTGTTTTTCACTCTGACCCTGTTGCTGCTTGTTAGAGATTTAAAGGGATATCTGATCCGCTTTTCAAATCTCCGCGCGTCCCTATCAAGCTGGTTAATACAGGAAGGAATCCAGAGCTACCAAATAACCGTTACTTTAATGATAATATGACAATACAATACAATCAATACAGTACAAATTCAACAGTTAATCCCTGGGATCCCGAATTTACCTGCACGTGAGCCAGCCAGAGGAAAGAGGCTGAACACCGCGTGTGTTTCTGTGTTTCTACTCTTTGACAATGGGAGGAGTTATCAGATCCTCCCATTCGGACATCATTGATTGGCAGCCCCAAATATCACCAACACCTTACGGGCCCTCCACACTACAAGCGTTTCAGGCGTAAAATTACGCCTCTAGCGCGTCTGCCCATTCACTTTGAATGGGGTGACGTCACGTCCGCTCACGTTTTCGCCGAACTGCATCACGGGAAGGCAAGCGTAACTTTGAGAGCGTCTCGCGCGTAAAAAGTTGAACAATGTTGAACTTTTTACGCACGAAACGCTCTCTCGGTTCCTGACAAGTGAGCGTAAGCCAATCAAATCCCGTTTCAGAAAATCTGACAGCTCAAGCCGTAGCCAATCAAAAACCGCGCATACGCTGGGAGAGATATCCTGAGATATCCCGCCGTTCATGTCTATATTTGAAATAAAATGGACGAGGTTATAATCGTAGCGGTAGCGAATCACCCTGTATTATTTGATGTGACCCTGTTCACCTACCGGGATAGAAACCAGAGGAACCAGGCATGGAAGGAGGTGGCAGAGACAGTGGGGGAAACTGGTAGGTTTTCGCCTGTTTGGGGATTTTATATCCAGTTTACTTCATGTTAACATAGCTAATGAAACATAGCCGGTATATTTAGCATAAAATAGCGCCATAGACATTAATCACATACATGTTAATCATCCGCTGCCACATCATAGACTATATTGCATTACATTAATGCACACAGTCATACTCCTTTCACATTTCTTAGTTATATATATATATGCAAAAATTCATTCCTAGCATTCTATTTCCATGTAAATTACTGCTTTATTTAATTTTTATCTTTTTGCAATTTAACTGTACAATACATGTTGTGTTTTATATTAGATTTCTTGTTTTGTATATATGCACCATGACATCAAGTCAAATTCCTAGTATGTGCAAAGCTACCTGGCAATAAACCTGTTTTTGATTCTGATAAAGTGTGACATGTAAAACCTTGTATGCAATTGAAAGGGATTTGGTTTTCATTAATGGAGCAATCATTTTCTGAAATTCAAGAAATTAACTGTATTCTTTCATTTTCATTTTATTAGACGAAGTGTGCAAAAAGCGTTGGAAGTCCCTCAGGGACCGATACCGCAGGGAGAGGATCCTGGAGAAGGAAGGGAAAAGTAGCGGGGCAGGGGCTTCCGGGGGATCTAAACCCTGGCGTCTCGTGGCAGTAATGAGCTTTTTAAAGCCCTTCATGCTGGACCGTGAGACGTCCAGCAATTTCCCCCGGCAACCCCTGCCTCCACCCACCGGAGCAGAAGAAGAGGAAGACTCTATGGGTGACAGCCTGGATGACAGTCTGGAAAGCCAGCCAGAGCCAGGTAGCAGTCAGCCGGCCAGTCAGCCGGCCAGTGTGCCGGCCAGTGTGCCGGCCAGTGTGCCAGACGGTGTGCCAGACGGTGTGCCGGCCAGTGTGCCAGCATTCTGGGGGAAGAAGAGCAGGGGAAGGGAGATGTCCCCTTTTGAGGAGAACCTGCTGTCGGCCGTAGGCCCGATGCTGGCCATGCCACCACCACCACCACCCCCACCACCAGTGGTGGAGGTGGAAGACGAGGACCTCCTTTTTTTAAGGAGTCTCTGGCCTGCAATGCAAAAGCTGAGCAGGACGAGCAGCATGAGACTGAAAATGAAGCTACAAGAGGCGGTCCTGGAGGCCACAGAAATGGACATTAATAATTAATTAATTAATTAGATACTGATACTGATACTGATCCACATTACATCTTTTTACACTCATCACTCATCACACACAACATCACATAAATAAAAGTTATTTAAAAGTATGTTATGGCTATACTGTGTCTTGACTTGTTCATGTGGTTTGTCAGTTACAACATACCAGGAGCTTCTTGTATGTCGATATATAATGTGCTGTCTTCTGTAATTATTCAGGTGAAACCCTGATGAAAATTATGAGTGGTTTATCACTAAAAACAGGGCTGAAGGAAAAAGGTTGTTAGTTATATCATGATATCAATTCAAGAAACATGTTTATTAGGAATGGTTGATTTTAAAATGGCTCATTTGGAATATTTGCTTTTTAAAGAAAATGGGTAGCTCTTAAAAGAGCTTTTTGGTTTGGAGACAAATATGGGCCTACACCACATTTGCCTGCCATCGCACTGCCCCCTCCTCGTTGAAGTAGGAGCAGAAGGTCTCCCGCTGTTGGATGGATCGCCGTGTGGCATTGTTGGAGCCCATCCTCGGTGCATCACACAGGGTTGGAGTAACTTAATCCGTGGACCTTGCGATAGGTGTGCGTGATGGCATATCAATGGTCTTCCTGCGGAGGAAGTTATGTAACACACAGGCAGCCTTCACACACAACTCCGTCACCTCGGGGCTGGTGGTGATGACACGCCTGAGCATTCTCCACTGGGTTGAGAGGATGCCAAACGCACATTCAACCACCAACCTGGCACGGCTGAGGCGGTAGTTAAATAACTTCCTTTCACGGGTGACGTCCAGGGAATGGACGCAGAAGGTTGTCCAGCAGCGGAAATGCCTCATCTCCAACGAAGACATGGGGGAGAGGGCCCCGCCGCTCTGATCCTGCGATGACGGTGTCAGGTGGTAGCTGCAGACTGCCGTCTCGGAGGCTCTCTCCAAATGCAGAATTCCGCAGGCTCCCACTGTCGCTGCTCCTCCCAAAGCCTCCAACATCCACTACCCTGAACAGGTACTCAGCATCCACCACAGCCAGCAGTACCAAGGAGTGGGTGGACTTATAATTAAAGTAGAGGGAACCTGCATTTGCTGGAGCCTGGATAACGACGTGCTTCCCATCTATGGCACCAACACAGTTGGGAAACTCCCAGCGCTCCTGGAACCCAGCAGCGATGGCTCTCCAATCCTCCAGCTGTGGTACCGGCATGCACTCCTCGACCAGGGCGGTCCAGATGGCCCCCGCAACCTCCTTGACAATGACTGCCACTGTAGAACGCCCGACCCGATAGCTGAAGGCTATCGTCGCGTACGAGTCACCAGTTGCCAGGTACCTGAGAAAAAAAGATATATACATGATTACAAAATATATTTATTCAGACCCCACACACACACAGACCACAGATCCCCCCCTCCACACATTGAACACAGACACACACATTGAACACAGACACAGATTGAACACACATTGAACACAGACACACACACATTGAACAGACACACACATTGAACACAGACACACACACATTGAACAGACACACACATTGAACACAGACACACAGACACACACATTGAACACAGACACACACACATTGAACAGACACACACATTGAACACAGACACACACATTGAACACAGACACACAGACACACACATTGAACACAGACAGACACACAGATCCCCACACACACATTGATCACAGACACAGACACACACGCCATGTACACAGGGGAGCAATACTGTGTTTACCTAGATATCTTAATTAATGTTGAACTAAATCTGAACTAAATCACAGACTTCAGTCATCATTCGTGCATTCTCTCTCCTTCTATACAGAGTCAGATTAAAGAAGTAGAAATACACAAAACGTACCGTAGGCAGATGGCGAGTCGCTCGGCGGGGCCGATTGACATACGCAGATGGGTGTCCACCTTTGTAATCAGTGGGCCCACCTTTCCGAGCAACTCGTCGAACACCTCCTTGCTCATCCTGAAGTACCTCTGAAAAAGGCGGTCATCGAGACGGAGCTCCTGGACGAGAAGGTGGTATTCCCCCCTTTGTAGACGCTTTCGGAGTATCGGGTGTACCCAGAAGCGACGCACACTACACGGCCTCATGCGAGACAATGTATACACTAAATGCAACCTTGCACACACACGAGTTACCCTGCTTACCCTTGCTACAACACCGGCATCCATTTTAGCAATAGTGGAGAAGAACCGGGGTTTTCACTTTGTATGTCCGGGGCGGGAGATTCACATGGAGATTCTGATTGGTTGTTGGTCGCGGGGATCGAAGAAACGCCCCAAGCGTAAATCTTGGGGCGTTGGAAGCGAATTTTACGCTTGTAGTGTGGCCGGCCCGTTAGACCTTAGGCTTCCCCAATCACTGTAGCTAGATCTAAATTGAATGCAACTCAAGACATGCTCTCACCTTCCCCCCATCTTCCTTTGTCCTCAAAAACACATGTCAAAAGGCCCCAAATCCAGCTCACAGTTTTACCCAAATTATTCTCATTTTAAGCTTATCCATAGTTTGCTAACATGAATAAATACAAATATAACTCTACAAATCCCCCTTTTTATCTCCTTCTCCAGAGATAAACTTAGACAAGTCCGTCCCCCAAACATTGTATAAATCCATCCGAAGCTGGTATTTAGAGTACTTGAAACCTTCATGGAAACAGAACACCACTTTCCATGGCAGTGAAGGAACCATGAGGGGGTAGCTGAGTGCTAGAATCATCATCAGCCCCCCCCCCCTCGGAGGAATAGCCCACAAGGACAGCTAATAGGGAGGGGGAGATGCGGCTTTCCCTTCATGGGTAGAACTGATCAGAGAGAAGTAGACTCCTCTGCTGCCTCGACAAGTCCCCTGTGCCGTCCTGGCTTGCCGTGTCATTGTCCCCCCGATCCGCTGACAGCAGCTTCTGGGCTGCCTGCTAGAGAGATGTCTTCCTCCTCCTCGTCCTCCGGCCCGCTGATGGCGGCTTCCGGGTCGATGCTGTAGAGATGTCTCCAGGGTCCTGCTCCTCCAGTCCGCTGCTTCCGAGTAGTCCACGTCTGCCAGGGCCACGTCCGTCCTGATGTCGTCCCCTGGTCCTAGCAGGTGGTTTCCCCGCCGCACACTGGCTCTCGTGGTACGAGCTGTCCCCCTTTTCTCCCAGGCAGACGGCATAAGAGGTCCGCTGGGTCACTCGGTCGGGGTCGGAGAGCCTGGGGTTGAGCCACTTTGTCCTGATGACTTTCAGCCAGACGAACTCTGCTGTGTCGGCCTCGTGAGATTTAAAGGGATATCTGATCCGCTTTTCAAATCTCCGCGCGTCCCTATCAAGCTGGTTAATACAGGAAGGAATCCAGAGCTACCAAGTAACCGTTAATCTACTTTAATGGTAATATGACAATGCAGTACAATCAATACAGTACAAATTCAATACAGTTAATTTTTGGGATCCCGAATTTACCTGCACGTGAGCCAGCCAGAGGAAAGAGGCTGAACACCGCGTGTGTTTCTGTGTTTCTACTCTTTGACAATGGGAGGAGTTATCAGATCCTCCCATTCGGACATCATTGATTGGCAGCCCCAAATATCACCAACACCTTAGACCTTAGGCTTCCCCAATCACTGTAGCTAGATCTAAATTGAATGCAACTCAAGACATGCTCTCACCTTCCCCCCATCTTCCTTTGTCCTCAAAAACACATGTCAAAAGGCCCCAAATCCAGCTCACAGTTTTACCCAAATTATTCTCATTTTAAGCTTATCCATAGTTTGCTAACATGAATAAATACAAATATAACTCTACATGCTATAAATGCCTGAATTTCCCCAAGGGGATACATCAAGTACCATCTTATCTTAAACGTGCAACAGAGGAAGAGGCCACTGTTTTAATTAAACTTCGAATAAAAAAAAAAATCCCTTATGCTTAGAAATGTTGGTAGTCTTGCATCATGTCCCATTGTATTTCCTTTCCAAGCACTTCATTTATGTCGTATTACTTAAGAGCTTATACTGCAAAGGCCACCATCATGATTTTAAGTGCTTGTAGAAGTAAACAACTTGAGATTTCCTCCACTTGACACACACAAATGTGTGTTAACTAGACTAGAACACTGATTTGGATCGCACCATATGTATGCTGTAATGAAATTGGCTGGTAGCTTACCACTTTACAGTAGCTTCTCAATTATTGCTCTGGAACTCATCTGCAGATTGATTTTGTTATAAACTAATCAATTGTGACTGGAAATGCTTATGCTTTAGGTTTCACCAAAGCTTTTTCATAACTGCATGTCCTACACTTGTATTCTCTGCAAGTTACGGTATTCAGGATGCAGACAATAAACACAAGAAAGAAATTATGAGGATTTGCCACATTTTGCTCTACTTGTTTAATCAACTGCTCTCCAAATAGCAACCTGTAGGAGCTTTAGTAAACACTGTGTCAATGTTTTGGCCTGAAGCAACACATCAGAAGAGAAAAGTAGTAGTTTAATATTAACCTGCACAGATTATTTTGTCGGTATTATTACTTTTTTTCCTCCCAATGATCACAGAAAATAACACAACACAGAATGCAACACAGAGAAATGTGTGCAGGAAAAAAGTTCATCCCAAATATAAAATAAAAAAATGATGTATGTATAAAACACATCAAATTATCTTATACCTAAATATTGTCTGTCCTTCGATGTATGTTTTGTTTAAATGGTGCCGTTTTTTTCTCCAGTGGTGTCCTGCCTAAGGTTTGACTATGGCTTGTACAGGTTTATTGTTTGCTGGCTTTTATATCTTTTTGTAAATATTTAGTACATGTATGTGCTGCCTCTATCTCTTAATACATCTGTTTTAAGCCAAGTTTCCTTTGAAGGAATAATACAAAAAAGTGAAGTGATAGGTGAACTTTAAGTATTTTACTCATACACAAATAAGGATTTAGTTTAGGCTTAAAGAGAGATTAAATGTTATCTAAAGATGGATAGCTTTGTGATTTGATGCTTCAATGAGCCATGACTGTGTGCTTGGGATATTCCTAACCACACTTTCCCTAACCTTTTTTCCATTTGTTCAGTTGTATGGATCTGGGATAAATGAGGTGTGGGAGTAATCAAATGCTTCAACCTTTTCTATTAAATGATAAGAAGACCATGTGCTGACAGGTCTGCATGTTAAGAGCCTTGCCATTGACAAATACAAGACACATTCTTTTTTCTGCATTGTTCTTCATCAAAGGCAGCCCAAGGGTGAAGGTTATGGGCGAATGTCTAATGATGCGTGGACCGAATCAATCTATTACCCCTCTTCAGTGCCTTTTTTCAGAACGATAAATGAGGAGGGCTTTCATTTCCCATCTGTACTCCACATGTGTTCATGTGTCAAGGAAGGTTTGAAGCCAAATAAATATCAAAGTGAACTCAGGGTGCTTTACATTGAAATGCAGACAGCCACATTGTTAGAAAAAACATAATTATTCAAATATAACTCAACA